AATTTAACTCTGTGCCTATATTGACTATATAGTGGGTGTTTTTCCCACGGCACACCTTACACTATGTTACGGCACACTAGTGTGCCGCGGCACAGTGGTTGAAAAACACTGCTCTAGTGACACAAATAATAATTGTTTTTTAATCAAAGAACTCCAAGGGCCTGAGGTAAATAATGTTTATAAATTCTAGAATTTACTGACAAATTGAAAACAAAATGGATCCAGATGGAATTTATTCATAGTTCTAAAAGCATTCAAACACAAAATTGCTGATCTAACAATTGTTCAAAATATATTTTTGAGAATTAGAAAGTGATTAATATGTCAAATTTAAAAAAAGGAATCCAGGAAATTACAGTCTGTTTAGCTTAAAATAGCTTTTTCATTATGATTCACCTAGTGGCCCACTGTGCAGTATGCATTATACACAAGTCTACAATTTGAGGCCCCACAAATTAATGACCCTCCCAAAAATCATGGGACACATCCCTAAATTCCAAATGTAATTTTAATGTGAAGAAAAAAGAAAAATGAATAAAACATGAGAAAAATTCAAGAGTAGCTAAATTTAAATAATGCAATGTCGTATATTTCCCGTACTTCCAACTTAGATCTATACCTCAATACAGCAGTCTTACTTCTAGTTTCAAAAACTTACGTCAATAATACATTTTCAAAGGAATAGAAGCAAATTGCTGATTTTTAATTTAGCAAGCTAACAAGACCTACAACTATCTATTCTCAAGGTATAATGAAAGTTTAACTTTTATTGACAAATATATACCCTTTCAAGCTAAATGCTTCCATATATCTTATTTTAGTGTTATTAATTTTTTAATTAAAAATATAATAAAGCCATCCACTTCAGTTTTAGAAAAGAGCATCATATCTATCAGTGTCCAACTATAAAAGTATCACTGCATCTGAAGCACTTAGGAGAATTTACAATAATTTAAAACACCAACAAGTTTATATTAGTATTACTCTATTTTCACTAGGTACTTGCAAGTTTCTAAAGTTTGTTATTGCAATTGAATTGTTATTTAATATCCAGAATAATGAATATTTGTTTTACAGAAAGCTCTTTCAAACATTTCAACATCTAATTATTGTCTTAAGGTCACAGATCTTCATTGGAACACTCAATATTGTTTGTTCTAAATTTTCACACCACAACACCTTGATTTTAAAAAAAGTTCATGTCTTATTTTTTTCTAATTTATACACACAAAGCAAAGATTAAAATACACAAAACTTTTTCTATCTCACCTGTAACTATGCCAAAGCCTGCCCTGTCTGCTTGCCTGCCCCCACCCTCTCTCTCTCACACACACACAGAATATAGCCCTGTAGCAAATAGCTATTTGAACTTATTTGTTTTTAATGTATGCTAGAATTATATCTTAACTTTCTCCCATGGGATCAAGACAATGTACAGCATTCCTTTCCTAATTTTTTCTCTACAATTCAGAATAAGGTTGGGCTAAAGATAAGTGACTTTGAAACTCACTTTGTGCAAGTCCCATATATTCAATAAATTCAAGAAACAAGAACCAATTCAGAAAGGCATATTTAATGCTATTTAAGGAGGAAAATAATATTAAAAACTTTCCCAGGCTATCGTAAAACAAGCGAATTAAAGTTGAGTCTCATTGAAATGTTTCCTTCTCACAGTCCACCTCTCAATTAGCTGCCTCTTTAAACAGCTACTGAACTTGTTCTCTCATCCCTACTTCCCACCATCTCTCACACCTAATGTGCTTCCATGGTTTACTACATGTCATCAGACAGATGTTAATTTTTAGTAATCACACATAGGCCTTTGTCGGCAGTCTGGCCCTTTAGATTTTTTTTATAGTATACTCATTGTCATAATAAACAAGCCCATCCACCTTGCTACTAGTCATCCTTCTCTTTCCTTCCACCTTTCCCAGCATTTTGAATTTCTAAGGGACTTAAATTTAGATCTCACCAACCACAGACCAACATCCAATCTGGCAGATTGGGCATGCCTTCACTTCTGCCATCTGAGGAATGCAGGCCGGCAAGGCACAGAAGACTTTTCTGCCCACAATTTGGAATATTCTCCAACTGGAGATTACATTGGTCCCTGTCCTTTCATAAGATCTTGAAGGCCTGGCTTTGGGCTCAGTTCTAAGGTCTCCAGTAGGTGGTGTCTACTGACTATGTAAGTGACAGTTAGCTTTCTCAGCTGCTGTAATATTATCTTGAGTGCTCATAGTTTCCTGATTGAAATTATGGTTAATGTCCATGTGTTATGAAATTAAGGAATTTTTGCCATGTCTTCTGGTGGTTGGCATGAGCACCCTAGACCAAGTCAAGTCCAAAAACATTAGAAAATTTCTAGAAGCCTGGCATTCAGACAAATCAGTCATCAACAGGCATAGAGAGATAAAGAAACCTACATATCATTCAAAAGAAGCAATCAAAAAGCCAAAAAGAAAATAGAAAGACCTAAACATCTCAACAGCAATCAACACCCAGATGAGCAGAAATTAACAATAAAACTAACACTAGACCAACAATCAAGAACTAAACAATACCCCCATTAAGGAACTACCAACTCAGACAAACAAGCTAACAGTAAACAACAGCCTAATCAACGAACCACTGAAACCACTCCCACCAATGCTGAAAGAACCAGTCACTAGTGTATAAAATGAGAGCAAAACCTACTCCCTTCTAGCACTGAAGTTACTGGTGGTAATGAAATATCAACAAGAAAACCACCACATTCAGAAAGCATCAAGGACTCCACAATTATATTACATTAGCTTTATTTACCAATAGCGCTATCATTTAGATTTATATATCGCCCTACAGAACTTTATAGCACTCTCTGGGTGGTTTACAATGTAAGCATTATTTGTATACTGCCTCCAACAATCTGTGTCCTCATTTTACCAACCTTAGAAACTAAGTCAACCTTGAGCCCCATCAGGATCAAACCCAGACTGTGGGCAGAGTTTGCCTGAAATACTGCACTTTAACTACTGTGCCACCGGTGGTTAAATATATTTAAATGTTAATTAAATAATGTTTAAATGTTACCAAGATCTATCTGAAAGACAGCACTACATTCTATATCATTGTTACAGGCTTAGAAGAAATAATTATTGAATGCTATGGTTCAAATGAGAAGTATCTCCTTTCAACCAATTTTCTTTCAATCAGGATTTCTTGTCTTTCAAACGCCCACAATCATTGAAATGCAAGGCTCTAATAAATGAATCAATACTGCTTTATTTTTATGTATCTTCATGAAATGTATCATTTCTTCTTCCGAAGCCTTCTAACCTTTGAATGTCAAAAAGAAGTAATATTGTGCAGAATGCATCCTACATATTCCAGAATCCTATTTTTATTTACTGCTTGTGTGTTAATTTTCAGCTAAATTTCAGCATTCCATGTATAAAAATTATTCTATCTGTCAGTGTTTTCTAAACACTATGGCTTCTTTCAAGAGATAAGGCGACTAAACCTAAATATGAAACATTTCTTATCAAATCAGGGTCAACATGAACATGAAACACAATGAGGTATCAGATTATAGTACTTGAATATTGTTTTAAATGAGTTCCCCCTAAATATTCACTTGCTGTAATAAAATTGCAGAAAGTTGTGTTATAAAATAAATCCACTTTAATACATGGTTATAA